GTCCAGTTCTGGGCCCCTCAGTTCAAGAAACTCAATTCAGGGAACTGCTGGAGAGAGTCCAGCACAGAGCCACAAAGATGATTAAGGGAGTGAAGCATCTCCCTTATGAGGAAAGGCTGAGGGAGCTGGGTCTCTTGAGCTTGGAAAAGAGGAGACTGAAGGGTGACCTAATCAATGTTTATAAATATGTAAAGGGTGAGTGTCAGGAGGATGAAGCCAGGCTCTTCTCGGTGACATCCAGTGATAGGACAAGGGGCAATGGGTTCAAGCTGGAACATAGGAGGTTCCACCTGAATATGAGAAAAAACTTCTTTACGGTGAGGGTGACAGAGCACTGGAACAGGCTGCCCAGAGAGGCTGTGGAGTCTCCTTCTCTGGGGACATTCAAAGCCCGCCTGGATGCGTTCCTGTGTGAGCTGATCTGGGTGTTCCTGCTCCGGCAGGGGGATTGGACTAGATGATCTTTCAAGGTCCCTTCCAATCTCTAACATTCTGTGATTCTGTGTAACTTAGAAAAAAGCCTTTGGCCTGGATTAATTTTCTTAGGCAGACAAGCCTTAATATATTAAGCAAGCATTTTGCCAATTTAAAGCATTTAGCACGTACATATGTACTCTAGAAATGAGTCTTTAGAGTTAAATGTACAAAACTTTAAACATATTCTGGAAAGCAGAAAGACTTATAAGTGAATTGACAGGAAAAGAGCTTTTTTAAGCAGAGTAATAAAAGTAACAGATTGGTTTTGGAAGAGAGCAAGTATAGTACTTATATAGACCCTGCAAAAGCAGCTTGTTATGGTAAAGACTCCAGCGAGTCACTACAAAAGAAGACCAAGAAACTAACCAACAGAAAAACTGCATGATTGCTCAGGTAGTGCCAGCACATCAAATTTGCACAGTTTCTGTTGTAGCTCAGTTTGCAGCAATATGATTTGAGAGACTTCAGTTTTCTTTCTTTTCCGTCCTCCTACCTCCTTCCCATTCTTCCCCCCATGTCCACCTGGCCAGAAGTTACTGCTCCCTCACTTGTGGCAATGCACTCCATTCTATGACCATGCTCTGAGCCAAGCCTGCGATACTATTCATTTCACACAGGGGGAAAGGAAGGGAAGGAGAGGGCCTTCTCCAAACATACTGTTTCATAATTTTTATTTGGAACAGAAACAAGTGAATTGGGATAATTACAGGAAGAATTGCTGGGCAAGTAGCTGGGAAGGAACAACTTAAGCAGTCTCCTGTTGGAGTGTCAGGGCAGAATCCCTCAGGTCTTACAAGGCAGAATCAACTCAGAAACAGCAGGTACAGCGCCACAGACACATGGCAAGTTGTTTAACTGATAGGGAATGACATTAAATATACATTACTGAAGTGCACATAGTAGTGCCTTACTATTTTTCCTAATAAAACTGAAATAAAAAAATACCCATTTTCAGCTGCTGATTTCAAAGTTCTGCAGCAGCAAAGTGTAAAAAGTCTGATTTTTTTTTTTTTTTTTTTACAATACATTAGTCTACATGTCCCATTTGCTGTTCATGTATTCAAGTGTTGCCACCTGATCATATCTGGACACTGGGCATGATTTCCCCTTCATAACTCCACGATGACTACTCCCAATCACCTTCTTTTCCACAAAATATTTGAAAATAGTTTCAGGGATTTTTTTCTCCATCATCTTCCTAAGGATCAAGGTGAGGCTTTGCAATCTGCATTTCCTTAGATCACACTTCTTGCTCTTCTTGAAGTCAGTGGTGACATTTGCTGTCTTCCAATCCTCAGGAACCTCCTCCAGTCACCATGACCTTCCAAAGATGATAATCAAAAGTGGCCTTTCAGTGACAGCCATTTCCCTCAACACTTATGGGTGCACCCCATCAGGTCCCATGGCCTTGTGGATGTCAGTTTGTTTAAATGTTCCCTTATTTGATCCTCCTTCACACCAAGGGTATGTCTAGATTGCTCCATATTTTTCCACTGACCTCATGGGCCCAGGATTTCTGAAGGCAAGTCTCATCACTAAAGACTGAAGCACCAAAGGCACTGAGTAGCCTGGCCTCTGCATGTCATTTGTTACCTGACCTCCATACTGTTCAGCAGCAGACCCACATTTTCTCTACTCTTCCTCTTGCTTCTAATATCCCCATAAAAGGTCCACCTGCTGCATTTAATGTCCTTTGACAGACTCAGCTCCAGGTGGGCTTTGGCTTTCCTGACCCCAGCCCTGCATGCTCAGGGCTGTCTCTCCATTCCTCCTGGGCCACCTGTCCCTGCCTGCACCTCTTAAATGCTTCCATTTTATTTTTTTGTCAGTTTGTTAATCTATGTAGGCTTCCCACTACATTTGCTCTCCTGAAAGTCTGCAGGGCCATTCTTCAGGGGGAAAAATCTCAAACAAACAAAAAAATCAACCAGCAGTCCTGGACACCGCCTCTCTTCAGGACCATATCCTATGAGATTCTTCCAAGCAGGTCTCTTAACAGGACAGTCTACTCTCCTGAAGTCCAAGGTCATGACTCAACCGAGCCTAGGTTCTGAGTCACAGAACAGCAAAGTGGGGAAAATATATAATGGAGAAGTTTGACAGAGCCTAAGACAGCCCATGTACACGTCTGCCAAAGAAGATTATTTAGAAGACTCAAAAATCAATGTAGTTACCACACCAAAATGTAATAAGGATAGTCAGGCTTATTCATATAATGCCCTTTCAACTACATAGTCAGAGTAACTTCCATCCTTAATTTTTAAGGCAGCATCTCCTAACTGTGATGCAGGCCTCTTTAGAGGGGACCTTGTCCTGGTTTCAACTGAGACAGAGTTAAGTTTCTTCACACTAGCAAGTAAGAGGCTGTGTTTTGTATTTGTGCTGAGAAGCTGGAACACGCCTAGTGGGGGGAGGAGTCAGTAAGGCATTGCACACGGCACAGACCCATTTAGGACAGGATCATTTAAGATACAGTGCACTGAAGATGTACACAAGAACTGAAATAGTAATCCTGGGAATAAAAATTCCCACTGGTAATCATGTGCTGAGGTTTGCACTCACTTTTGAGAAGAATACAGATGTTTTGAAGGTTCTTGGGCTTTTTCTTCTTACCTTCTGCATCTAGGGTCGGGAAGAAGCAGAGTTTCTTCCTTCTAAAAGATTGAGTGTAAGGTAGAGCTTCTTAAGAGAGCAAAAAGCATTATCTCAAAGGAATGAGAGTGTCTCTCTCCCATCATTTAAAATAGGAAAAGAAAGTCCTTAAGATTTACTGTAAGCAGCCATTCTGCATTGTTGAAGCAAGGAAAGAGAGATGGAGTCATTGCCAGCTCTAATACATAAGGCTTTGAACATTCAGTTCAACTAGTTTGTGTACCAAACACAGATCCAGTCTACAAAAAATAGACAATTGTATCTGTTTATAGAAGGCATGAAAAGGAAGACAAGATGAGACACTTACCATATCAAGCATCTCTTTGGTATGAGCTGCAGACAAACAGAATCTGGCTCTGGACTCGATGATGGGGGTGGCAGGGAAGCCCACAACCACAACACCGATGTTCCGCTTCAGCATCTCACGCCCAAATGCACTGCCAGAGAGAACAAGAAAGATCCGGAACTACCAGTGGAGGTAAAGCAGCAGCAGCCTGAAGGTCTCAGTATGTTAACCCATACAGGCCTTTGCTGAAACAAGCCTGTAAGACCACAATTTAGAGCTTCCAGTGCTTTCTTTTAGAGGCAGAACACCTGTTCACAAAAGCCTTTGTAAAATTCAATCTCAAGGTGGTCCTCCCTCAAAAAGTTTCACTGTATTAAGTTCTAACAAAGCTGAAAGATTATATGTGGCAGACGCTGGTCTTTTAGCAGGCTTTTTCTAAATGGATTTGTAACCTAAGCTTGGAAATCTTTCCAATAGGAAACAGGGATTTAGGCTCAGAAGTTTGACTATACCAGGAATCCCACATGCTGCAATGCCCCAAAGCAGATGCTTCTGCAGGTTCAAGATGGTTTGTTTTCGCCAATGTAATTCAATTATAGTACATTAGGGTGTCACAGAATGTACCACTTTAAGTGCCTATCATGGGAACCATTGAATTGCCACAGTAAATGGAGATAATCTGATCTGATACCAAATATTTTTAAGGAAGGTGCAAAAAATTCATACAACTGTCACACAGTATCTGCAACAAAACAAATTCTTATGGGGATTAAAGAAATTAGTGACTGTGCCTTATGCAACGAGAGGCAAGATAATCTAGATCCTTTCTGTAACGGCAGTGCAATTGTGGGTGTTTCTATAGGCCACAGAAAACAGTTAATCCTTTTTGAACTGACTTTGTCTTGAGAAGTAGCAATAAACTTATGAGGCTTATAAGGATGTATAAAAACAACAATTTTACTAGGTTTTGAAATTTTCTGCCTTTTACTTCTGCTACAACTATTTTCCTTATAAATAGGTGTATCCTGATACACTTCATTTTGTATCCATTTAGTACTCTCAAACTATTTTAAAAACAGATAAGAGACAAAGAAAGGATGAATTGGACCCAATGTAGACCACGAGGGCCAACTTCCATCAGAGCTCTGTGTTCTTGCTCATTTTTAAGTTACTGGCCTAACTGCTCAGCTAATAAACATTTCCATGAACATTTCCAGGGAAAAGATTGTACTGACTGGTAGAGGAGCTGGGTGGTATAAACAGTATGCCTCTGTGTGCTGGATGGCGCACACTGCAGACTCTACAGCACCCATAAAGGTTACAAGCCTTTTAAATCTGGTTATACCGAGAAGGGTAGCAGAGTGCTAGAAGATGTTTGTTCCTTCACAGAACCACAGTGCTTAGCCCTACTGAAGCCTAACTGAACTAGGAGAGCTGGTATGGCTTAAAATGAAGCTGTGCTTTCCAAATTTGAAATGCTGGTTGAGTGCTGGATGGACACTGAAAAGCAGCTATCAAAGCCAAGTTGTCCTTGAAATCAGGCTTTTGTTTATGTTGCAAATGTTTTTAATACATACATTATATCCTGCTTGCAAAATTTTAGCCTTAATTATCCACACAGCAGCCCACAAGCCTATAAGCATTTATAAAGCTGTGTGTTACAGTTCTGTTAGTATTTACAATAAAAATACCTGAGGTATTAAATCCAGACCTCTTAAAATTCACCAAATACAGGTGGTTGTGTCCCATCGTGTCCTGCCCCCTGCTTTTTCTTTTTTTAACTTTCAGAGTTAATCTATGGAAATGTCAGCTGCTTCTGATCCAGGAGCTGGTTGAAAGATTCCTCCAGTGACTTTTAATGTTAATTTCCATTCAATTTGAGCTTCTCTTTACCACATATATAAACTTTACATATAAATAAAATGAAAAAAAACACCAACTTTTAAAAGATGTCATGTAGTGGTAAAATTGCTTCCCTCAAGTGCTTTCTTGCTGCCCCAAGCTACAAGCCCCGATTTTCTCAAGATCACTTATAGGAAGCTTCCATGTTTTATAAGTCTCAGTAATGATCGTAAAAAGCAAAAATCAAACCACTCTTTTCTTATATTTAGAAAAGTATCAATATTCTTGTACCATCTTATCTTTAAAGAAGATAGATGAGAAGTTATCCTGTTAAACCTACCCAATTTTTGCTGGCATGTACAGCATCAGAGGCACAACAGGGGAATCTTCATTTCCATAGATGATAAAACCCATCTCTTTCAGTCGTCTCCTGAAATACCTGGTATTCTCTGCTAGCTGCTGCACACGTGTTTTCCCTAGAACAGAAATTAAGATAAGACTGTGAACACAATAGTCATAAATCACATGTGTAACTGCAACACAAGACCTGTAGCTAAAGTACAGACCATGAATGTACCACTCGCGATTATGGAAGTGTTCAGATATGCAAACCAGAATTCACAGTTTCTTTTCCCTCATGTAATCAAGAGTAGTTACTTATTTTCTGATAAGGCTGTAGCTGAATGGACTAAGGCAAGCATAACCGTCAAGTCCAAACATTCCCTAGGTTTTCCATATCAGGTTTTTATCAAGAGGTACCTGGCAAAACAAGACAGTTACCTGCTTTTAAACAAGATTCACAATGTGCTCAACATTCACTGGTTACTGTATCTTGAAGAAAAGTTTGCTTATACTGAATAATTAATGGAAATCTATTGAATCAGGTGAGGCTGTTTGCCATGTTTTATCCTGTTTGTCTGTGTTGATGGAAATTACTATTTTCCTCCTTAGATCTGCTTGCTGAACTGATTATGTGGCTGCTGCCTAAACTTTTTCAGTTAAAGTGAGCTGGGTTTAAATTAAAAAGATTACTTCTGATAAACCAGCTCACTTCACATAACCAACAGCAGCAAATTTATCATGCATTCAGTCAATTATGTACTGATTTTTTTTACATCTGTCAAAATTAGCACAGAAGACATTAGACAAGATAGTATAATTTAAATATTTCAGCTATTCAGATATGCATAGGACAACTTATTGATCAGTTAATTAAATTCTAGCTTAGCACAGTGTACTACATTTCTTTTTTGCCCAGAAAAAGATCCACATCACCTCACTTAAGCAGATGATAATGCATTTCTGATCAACTAATACTCTAATGTACCTAAGAGATTAAGCACCATACCATTGATGAGACTATGATAGGTAATGTTTGTAATTACTTGTCTCTGGTCCACAGAGTATGTTTCTGGACAGCTGATTAACCAAACACTGACTTTATCAAATGGGTGATTCATATACTGAAGGATTAAGTCTACAGCAGTGCGGATCTGAACCACATAGTGAAGTTGGCTGCTAGATATTGATTGTCTTCCTTTAAAGTTGTAGATAACATAAGGTGATTAACCAAAAAGAATGCCAGGCCTCAAAGAAACTTCCACACCCACATAGCTATGCTCCAGGCCAGAACAAATGTAATTTTAAGAAGCTATACAGTTTTCATTGCCAAGAGTATCAGACATTCCACCCACAAGCATGCAATCAAAGGCAAAATCCCATCAAAGGCAAAGTGTAAGAAAAAAGGATAAAACCTGTTAAGTTTGCAAAACTTGGCCTATCATTAGTGGGCAGAAGCTGGTGTTTTTAACAGCATTCACTGCCGTTTAAGGCATCTCTTCTCCTCCATTAATAGCATTATTTCTTAATCTTTTTTCCTACAGAGTTTCTGCCAATGCTTAAATTTCCCTTCCCCCAAAAGCAGTAAGATTTCAGTAAAACACAAAGGCATCTTGTGCTTATGAAACTTATTTTTTAACTGCCTCACATCAGAGCAGATCCTCTAGTGGAGGACCAACCTTTCTCTTACATTTTCAGACCAATTGTTTGGGTTTTTTTTAAATACCCCAGACTGCAAATCGAAGTTGAAAAAAAATAAACCCCCCAACAAAATAAGAAGAAACAGGCCTACTATAAGATACTTGTGTTTCTAAAGTTGAGACAATCAATAAAAAAAACAAGTGTCCAGAGCAATCTACATGCAGAAAAAAAGCTACTATGGTTCCTTCTGAGAAAGCTGCATCCGCATGTCTCCTACACATAAATGAACAACTTCTAGCATTTCAAGTCAGTGATGTACAATCCCATCAAAATAAGCATGATATTTCACTGCTGTGGGAGTAGTAAAGTAACATACACAGCTGGATACAGCTTCTGTGATCAGTCCCTCTCCCATGACCAGGAATGCAGCATCTTCCATACACACATTCTCTCCATGCTCCCACAAAACATGGAGTTTACAGTGCTTCAAGCAGAAAGAACTCCAGCCCCTTCATAGTTTTCCCCTCTATACAGTCACACCCTTACCCAAATTGTTGGGAGCCTTCCAGGCTAAAGATTAAAGAGCAACCTTAATTTGTAGTTGGCAACCTCTTCACGGT